GAAGACATTAAGGCGACTCACAGTAAAAAGAGGAGAAAATGCACCTCACGTGCCTTCAAAACGCACTGTGGAAGCATTTTTAAGCCAGTTAAGTGATTTATCAAGACACTTTTTTTTGACAGTGTACTTTAAGCAACAATCATCATAGTTGTGTAGTATTTAGTGTAGAAATGTATGAGGTCATACGTTTACAAGAATCTATGTATTTCAGCTTGAAACTTGTTATTTTCTGCATTTTCTTGTATGAAAGCGATTCCAGGTCTCCATATTTACACCACTGTATTTCATTCACTGTTCTGTCACAGGTTATCCGTTCGGTATTTTGCTAATAAGCCTATTAAACTTAATATTTGAAACAGCGTACTATAGCTTATTTTGTAACCCTTTCAATTCTACATTTTTCTAAATACAAACTTTTCCTAATTTCTATTTGTGAAAAAAACTGTGATTATTTTTCTATATCACTATGAGTAAAAATCGAGATATCTATCTAGTATTTAACCAATAAATCTATGAGGGTAAACTTTAAAAACAAAATATTGTAGTTTATTTTGAAGCCCAGGAAATTCTCTGTCTTTGGATATATAAAACATTCTGGGTCAGAGCAGATGTATGGAAGAAATTATTCTTTTAAAGCCTTAAGATAGGTGAAAATCATGATAGCTATTGAGTATTTTGACAGTTGTCCTATATGGGCATATTTTCGAAAAGCTTCTCAATAGCTCGATTTGAAGCGCAGATAATTCGCTATCTTCCTATGTATGAGCTTTGGTCAAAGTCTTTAAAATCGTACGAAAAACTTGAGAAACAAAGTGAATGACAGTCATTGAACTGGTGACGAAAACTGGTAAGAAATAATTTTTTCAAGGAGATCAGGAGCAATTTTTTTGAAAGTCACAAGTGTTGGGAAGTGAAAAGGGAAGCATTTCTGCTCATTTTCATTCAAAATTATATTCGGCCATTTTCTAACAGAAACAGTTTCCAGTCCTTTTTTTTAACTTTTTTTCCAAAAAGTTGCATTCAACAAACGATCAATAACTAGTGGCTAGGGCCCAATGCGATCTGAGCATTGACCCAATACCAATTTTTTTTCGAGTGTTCAGCTCACAACTTTTCCTTCACCTAACAATCCTGAATAATGTTTGTCACATGAAAGCAAAATAAGGTGCTGCCAATTTAGAAAGATAGCATGATTTTCATTTCCCTTCTTTTTGACATGGTTGAATAGAGCTCATCGATTCACCTCGGAAAAAGCCAATTTAAGGTATTCTTAAAGTCATTCTTGGATGAAAAAATTGAAAAATACTGAACTGTAGAAAAAACAATAAGCTTGTAAAAACAGAAATATATGTTTTATAATACTGTTGTGCACCGATTTGCCCTCATCAAGATATATCACTGAATCGTACTCAAGTACATACGCAAATCACTACATGAAAAGAGATAGTCTGAAGTAGGGGTGTTAGTTTAGTTTTATTGTTCATTTATAATAATGATAAATATAAATTTGTCATTTGTATTTAAATAATAAAGATAAATAAATGAAAAAAGATTTATTTTTATAAAATAAAGATAAATGGATCATTTACTTTTAAAAAATAAAGGTAAAATAAATAAATAAAGATTTTACTTTATGGAATATATCGGGTTGTCCACGTAACGCGACACTTCGTTGATCAAGTTTTTTGTTTTTTCATCGGGAAATCGATAGGAGCCTATCACCAGACGTTGTTTTTCATGCTGATCACGAATTCGGCCTTTATTTTGAAAAAAAATGAATTTTCAATTATAAAATTTAAATTTAAAATTTTTGAAAACTTTAATTTTAATTTTGTGACCCAGAAATTTTTATAAAACAATTTTAAAAATATACTGTCGAACAGAGAATTCAATTCTCTACAAAATAGCTCGTTTTGTTTTGAGAAATATTTCTCAGTCGAGGTAGAAGGACTACTTGCAAGTTTGAACTTCTGACTCGATTTAAAAGCCTGAGGAACCTTTTGGAACTTTCTTTGCAAGTGGAGTATCTTCAGGAATGCTATAAGTACTCAAGCTATAAGTATGAAGTTGTCTGAAGAACGTTGAGTGGCCTAAAATGGTGACAAAAAAATGTGTAACAGTGTTACGGTTGTTTTTTTGCTTTTTTTACGCGAGTAAAAATAGTTAGAAGAAAATCTTTTTTACCGCTGAAAAGCTCATTCGATGCTCTACAAAATTTGCTCCAGGGTCATTTCATTTGGAGAATGACTTTCGCAGGAAATTAAAACTTTAGCAAGAGCACTCCGAATTTAGGGTCTTTTTATGTAACAGCGTTACGCGATGAAAAAACCTTTCTCGAAGCTTCAGACTTCAACCAAAAAACTTCGTTTTTATAGCATGCATAGAGTATGATGAGCTGCGTCGAATGGCGTTTGAACGAACTTTCTAGCTCTCAAACTTTCCGAGATAATTGAGAAAAAGTGTGTCAAAAACGTAACAGCGTTACGTTTGGATAAGCCGATGTGCAGCAGCGGATGTGGAAGACTACATAATTTGCCATTATTCAGACAAAGTACTTACTTTATTTAGAAGATGTTACTTACTGATAACACCTGATGTGTACGCATAATTCCAAAAATAAAGAAATAGAGATGAAATAAATGGTTGGTATTCTTTTCTGCGACTTTCTCAGTACCAATCTTCTCTTTTCGAGCTAGATTTGTTTTAACCGATCTGGGTAATTTATCATGACTTAAGGGGGGGGGGCCGCCCCCTATATGTGCCCTCAAACTATTCCAGTTTGAAGAGGACACCTGTTTACATATATCCTTCAATTTTTTCGATGAACTGATAACTATTCACAGAGTTATTAATTAATTAAGTGCTAAGAAAAATGCATGATGTAATCAATATGAAAGTAACGAGAGTGTCGGATGGAGTAAACGAACTATTTGTCCTTACAAGACAAAAAACAAAATTAACTTTTACTTCATATATACTTCATACATTTTTTCTCTTTATAAAAAATTTGTACTCAAGTGCATACTTGAGTAAAATTTTCGTGTACTCGTATTCGAAAAAAGTGTGTACTCATCCATCTCTCTGTAAAGAAGATCAACGGAGATATTAAACTGGTAACCTGTTTCGTTAGAAAAAGTAGTGAAATTCCTGACAGGTTTCTCTCGTAAGTTTAAACTTTTATTTCTTGAGTAGATTCAAACTTCTTCTCAAGAAAACACTTCCTTTATTTAAACTTTCTTATTTTAAGTTGTCTTTGTTCTTCTGAGTTTAAATACTCAACTGAACTAGACACTTTTAGATGACTATTTTTAAACTAAGAAACTCTTTTACCATTACCAAGTTCTATTAATAACGAACATTTAATCATCACAATTATTTCATTTTTAAAAACTAGAATGAAAAAAAAATTACACATTTTAAATAAAATGTTCATTTTCAACCACTTTCTACTATTAGATTATTTTTGTTTCTTCTCTTGTACTGATACTAATAGACAATCTTATTATTTAGTAGAAACCAGTTTTTTATTTTGATCCATATCCTTCTGTTACAGATCGTGGTAAACATGAATTTTTTTCAGACTCGACAGAAATACATGGGTACATCAGGATGTCAAACACTAAACTACAATTTTAATATAAAATCATGTTTAAAATACAATTCTATGTTAGGTAATTTGATTACAAGAAAGTAAGACACAGATGATATCTCTGATGTTCAACAGTTTCAATAAGCAAGTATTATTTAAGTTTTTTTAATGAAGAATTATATTAGTCAGTTTCTAAAGGAACTCATCCGATGACTAATACTTGTTTAGATTTATTTTTTTCTAATAAATTTTCTTATACATAAACTATCATTTTAATGTGATCACTGTTTGGGTCGTTTTCTGTTGATAATGAGTTTTACAAACTTTTTAGATACGAACGCCCAGCAGACATTCAGATGAACATTTACTCCAAAAGTGACGATGTTTGAAATTTAATTTTTATATACTTCGAAATATCCGACATCTCTTCCCATAAGCAGAATTTTTTTACTCTTATTAAAAAGAGTGGAAAACTTATTCTAACTAAACGATACAATTTCTTGTAATTGTGACTTTTAATACATTTATCTTAATCATTCATGATTATCTAAAATGAGAAAATTTTATGCATATTTTTTGTGAACCGTCGTTCAAAAACTCTTCGGTGACTCAAATTGTATACTTGATCAATTTCATTCGTTGTTTTTCTCTTTTCTCAAATTTTGAAATGAATTTCTTCTAAAATTAATGCAAATTAACGATAAATGAGAGACCTGTAATATTCTTTCATATTTTTATTGCAAAATAAAGAATAGAAAAAAATTTGTTCTGATTTTCAAAAACACAAGACGAAAGACATGCATCTGTAAAAGAATAAAAAAAAAGAAAATTGACTATTTGTTCGAAACTCTGTTATAATAGAAAAATAAAATATTTGGTCTTAGAATAAACAGACATATCTGATCAAAAATATTCACATGAAAAGAAAAACTGTCTAAATAATCATAATTTACAAAATTGATCGTTCAAAAATTGATTTGTTCAATTAAGAAACACATGCATTATACCATCAAGAATAGAATCAGGCAAATAATCTAAAAGATAGAAATGTTAATAATATAAAATACATTAAACGTAGAATGACAATAGTAACAGACCTTTTTTATTTGACGAACGATTAAACACATAATCTTTTATTGATATGACCGGAGCATGTTCTAGTTTAACACTAAATAAAATTGATAAGAATGATAATATATTAAAATATGATTGAACTAGAAAAGTGCTAAATTTTTGAATTTCTAGAGTCATACAACAGTTTGAGTACACCGTTGGGTGTCTGCCTATAGAAAAAAAGAATTTTTTAATAAAAACAGGCTAATAACGATAGTAAATCTAAAAGTTATTTATCTAGCTGTAGTCATCGAGTATGTTTCCACAACCACACAAATAGCTGATCGTATTTTAACACTTACTCTCCTACATCTGTTATTGTGTCCGTTTGCAATTGTTCTAAATTTAAAAAATCGAATAATTCATCGGATATAGGATGTTGTGATAGTAAGTCTTTGAGGAAATTTTCCAACATCAATCGACGATGTTCAATCACACGTGGATTTCGATTCTGCAAAACTTTCTTTGGAAATATCGTATTTACAGGAATCAACTAAAAACAGATCATCCATCATTAAAGTGTGTATTTCACTTTTTATTTATAGTGAAGTTTACCTTGTGTAAATCTTCAAATTCACGAAAACGTCGCTCAGCATAGATTGTCTTTGTTAAACCACGGATTTTAATTACATAAACCTAAATATAATGAAGAAGATAACATATGAAACTCATTCGCTCATCTAACAGCAAAAAAAATATACCGTAAATTTTTCATCATCTTCCTCGACCGTTTTTGTGGTAGGAATTTCAACGGAGAATTGTAACATCAAAAAATATAAACAGAATATTCAACTTATCTAAACAAGTGTAAAAAAACAGCGTTAAAATTCCTCTATATTATAAAATTAATTTCCTCCAAAATCGATAGAAAACACCGACGGCCAATATAAGTATCCTTTGTGTATTGAACACTTGCAAATAGCAAACGATATATTTGTCTTAAGAGTATAAATATAAAACGATAAATGTTCTCTGCCTGACAATCTATAAACTATATTCTGCAGAGGCAGAAGCCAAAGTTGTGTATTTACTTAATCTAGACAAAAAAAATATAAAACAACATCTAAATCTTAGTATCTGCATGCCTTCTGAGTGAAAAAGATAATGAACAATGAATAGAGATCACACACGTCTGCGTGTGTGTATATAAAGAAGTTTTACAGCTGTATATTTCCATTTTCACTTTATTCTTCTGAAGAGAACGTCATTCTCGAAACGTCAGTAACCAGGAAATGAAAAACTTTAACAACTTAACCCGAGATTACCTAAGCTCATGGCTCATCCCAAAACGGTTTTTTACAAAAATTCTCAAGTGCTCGACTTAACTAAGTTTAGACTTTAGTCAGACTTAAGTGTATAAAATTAACACATAAGTGTACAAAACGAAGACTTAAGTCTAGACTTAGTTAAGCCGAGCACTTAAGAATTTTTGTGAAACACCGTCCAGACTAGGATAAGCAGCAATGTATACAAATGAACGTAAAAAGTAAAGGAATAAGCGTAATGTACGTAATGAATCAAGTCAAATGTTGATCTTCACGTTAGTTGAAGCTAATTCGACACTAACCAGTTTGTTTCAGCCATGAATTCATAAAGGTATGTGCGGTACGAGAAAAAAAGCTTTTTTAGCATGCAGATGAAAATAGTCAACTAGTTTATCGGAAAAAACTGATGTTTTTCTATTTACGATATTTCCTTGACTTTAGTCTAGCATAGGGTCTTATAGAATGTCTGTCTGTCTGTGTGTGTCACACACACAGACAGACACACACTGTGTGTGTGTGTGTGTGTGCGGAAAATACGGAAAAATGGCTGTCGGATATTCTATGGATAATCCAATCACAAGAAAACAAGATAGAAAATTCTTTTTTAACTACGGGAGAGAAAATATTCAAAGAGATGATCTGAAATATCTATTGATGCAGAGAGAAAAAAAGCCTAAACAAACTTTTTCCTGTAGTTCGGAGACAGAGGTCGTGAGAAATCCGTCATTTTTGAAAACAGAAAAGAGTTATCTACGGTCAATGAAACTTACAGAATATAGATAGTCTGTCATTACGAATCAGTTAGAGATACTTCGAATCTCCTTGGGATCTTCAGAGAGCATCCAGAAAACGTTTTAGCTTTATATTACATTGTGCGCTTTTTCCGTAGAAACAGAGGAGTTCATAACATTTCTTAGAAAACATTATTTCTTAACTAAGTGCGAGTCTATGCAGATGTTATCCAGTGCATTTATACGTGTGCTAAACTTTCACTTTCTGAAGTAACAGAGTTTGCTGATCTCAATAACATACAATTTAAACTACAGAGTTTAAAGTCAGCAAAGATAAAACACCATGCATCGAAAGGTTCCTCATAACTTCATTTTGTCAGCAATTTTGCAGTGGTATAAAATGTAAATATCTCAGAATGTGCATCCGGTTCGAAGATATAACGTTATATATAAAAAAATGTGCGCTACAAAATTAGATCAGCAGTGTCATAATCTCATTGCTGGCACGAATAGTCGATTTAAACGAAATAGGTGTGACATGGATATCCCTAATCGACACTCCCCAAGAAAGTCCCCAGGGACTCCCCGGGGAGTCCCTCTAAAACTCCCCGGGGATTCCGTAACGGGAGTCCCCAGGGATTTTTAGGGGAGTCCCCAGGGAGTCCCTGGGGAC